AATTTCACTTCATAATGAAAATCTCGACCTTGCAATAGTTTGAAATTTAAATACACTTTAACACCTGAGTTCATAATAATGCTGAAGACCATTTATTCTGTCAACTTTTTAAACTTTATAAATAAAAAGTGTGTATATATATTTCCAAATATGTGAGAATATGGCTAAATATTGAAAACAGGCATTTTTCTTTTAAAGAGAACTAGGTGAAAATTCATAGCTGTATTCCGTTTCATAATCATTTTGTTGCTAATATTCCTGAAATTACGTGTTAGCGACTTAGGCTCAATTCAGTGATGGTCCGCTTGAACAACTGTAACAACATTTGCATCCCTAACTTTAGATCTTGACAAAAGCAGGCAAGCGCGTTACCGGCGTGATGGCTCCAAGCAAGCACAGCTTCCTCCTCGGGACCCAGCCTCTGCTTTTGCTGTTACACCTGGCCTGCCTCCGCGGTTTCCAGATGCTTACTTAGATAATGCTGGATGGGGTGGAAAAACGTCAGACGCTAATTCATCAGGACTATCTGAATGAAGAAAGCACACACGTGCACGTGCCCTAACAGCCGCGACGGCAGCTAGGCCGGCATCTGGGAGTAAGAGACCATGAACTCGGACAAGGACGGCTCGACTGCTCTCTGGCCATCTCACCCGACGGAGCACAAAGGGAAGTCCTATCCCTTGCCAGCTGCACAAGTAAGCTCCCCTAAGAGAAACTCTGAGCGCATCACCACAACCATTACCTACTGTTATGAATGGTTATCTTGGTTGTAAAATATAAGTGGAAGTGAACTGACATCAATGTATTTGTCCAAACCAGGGGGGAGAAAAAGATTCAAAAAAGACACAGGCTGGACGGCAAAGAACAAGTTCAAAGAAAGTGAAGAGGTCAGTTAAGTTGCAGGTACTCCTTTCCAATACTGCACTGTCTCCTTAATTCTTTTTTTCAATTTTCCAAATTTAAAATGTTTTCCAACTTAAAACCTACTGCGCTTCTCAAAGTTTAATAATAAATGCAAGATGCACAGTAAACTTTAAAATCATAATCAAAACAAATTGCTGGGTGACAATATCTGGTATTTTACAGCTAATTAAGATGTGCATACATTAAAATAACTAATAGAGTAACCAAGAAGTTTAGCTCCTCTTTTCCCTCAAGCAACCTTAGGCGAGTTTAAACCAGCAGTAAACAAGACAACATATATAGCAAAATAGTCTGCCACAAATACAATTCAGTCTAAACCCCTGAAAAAGTATGTTCTGACACTGCAACTTTAAAAACAAAAGCTAATCTAGAATTTAAACTATTTAAGTACAGTATTTGTAATTTCTTTTTTTTTTTTTTTTTTTTGGAGAGGTTTTTGCTATAGGCTATGGTGTTTGTGCTCGCGAGAGAGACAGAAAGCGAGAAATCATCCCCCAGGGGATTGGCCATGCCGCAATCCCTTCTCCTCCATTCTCCTCTCGGGATCTTGGGCACGCATGCACATGTGCCCATCGTGAATTTTAAGCCACCAGGTCTGGGACACGAACCTCGGTCGACTACATGGGAGTCCAGCGACATAGCCATTACGCTAACTGCTGGTCCCAATATTTGTAATTTCAAAATGTTTCTTGTCCTCTTACCTTTGAAAATCATGTGAAAATGAAATGTGCAATACAGTTGAATATACTTCAAAAGTGCATGGTCCTTCCCTCCTCACTTCCCATGCATTTCTCTTTAAAAACAGTGGGAGGTGCCTGCAGGTGGTATGGCGGTTAAGGCACTGGATTCCCACATGGCCAACTGCAGTTGAACCCAACTCAGTGGCTTGAAAATCACGCTAGTTGGGTGCCAGTTGATGGCGTGGCAGTAAAAGGTGCTAGATTCCCACATGGTCAACCATGGTTCGAGTCCCAGATCTGGTGGCTTGCTATCTCTCTCTCTCGCTCTCTCTCTCTCTCGCTCTCTCTCTCGTGAGCACATGTTGCCCTATAAGAAATTTAAAAATAATAACAAATTAAATCAATAATTCTTACCCCCCCCCCAAAAAAAATCACACCAGGCACCATCTGTGAGCATGCCCAAAAATCGCAAGAGGAGAATGGAGAAGAGATTGTGGTGTAGCCATATATATTCCACAGCCATAAGCACATATATATACATATTTATGTTTTATACACATATATTATATAACATTATGATGTGTATATAATATATAATGTTACATAATACATAACATAGATATTACATGTTTTACATATGTACCACTGGGAAACTGCTGCACCGTGGCCCACCCAGGAGACCGAGCTCTCAGAGCAGAGGCCTATAACCTGCACACCACAAACCTCCAGACTGGAAGCCCAGTCCAGTCCACACCATACACAGTCTTTCTCTGGGTAACTCCTGAAAATCACAGCGACTGAACGATTTATGAGGTTTCTCACATAACTGTTTTCTTATTTTTAATTTTTATGATCTGAGCTAATCACAAGTTTTAAGTCTGACATACTGAGCTTGAAAGAATGCTAACATTTACCTCTCTTACCTGTTTTATAAAAATGGGACACATAAGTCAACCATTCTTTTTCTTTAAGGGAAATTTACTTGCAGTCAAGTACAACTCCAAGCTCTTCACCAGGAACGCGCACTTACTGAAAGCCTACCTGTGCCAAGCACTGCTCTAGACGCTTCAGACACAGTAGTGAACAAACTCTTCTAGACCATCTTTAAATAAACTTCTAATTATTAAAAACAGTTGCTGGAATAAACACCAAGGCAACCTTTGGGGAATCAACAATGGTGGGGGGGATGGCCACTCCATAATCCCTTCTCCTCTATTCTCCTCTAGGATCTTGGGCATGCACCCACAAGTGCCCAAAAGCCACTGGGTCCGGGACTCAAACCATGGTCCACTATGTGAGAGTGACATAAATTTACAGCATCTGCTGATCCCCTCAGATTATCTTAACACACAAATTGAGTTTCAAAAATACGGAAACATAAATGAAACTCAGTAGCGTGAACGGTACAAGAAGTTCCACAACAAAAATCAAGCGAAGTCAAAGCTGCTACTAGCAAAGCATGTTATCAAGTCGGTAAGGAAGCTCAACTAGGACAGGGCATGACAAAGCTGGCAGAGCAGAGGGAAGGGCCGGACCTAAACCGCGTCTTCTCCCTGCATTAAAGGGTCGGGGTCAGCGGAGCCAGCCCTGCAGAGCAGCGTGCAAGAGCTGTGCACTGGGGCCGGCTCCCACATTCCCGACTACCGTTTGAACCCCAGAGCAGCCTCTTGAGAAGCACTCTGGACACGTGGGACAGGTGGAGAATGGGGGTAGGGATGGCAGCGTGCCCAGGCCCCACAAGGGGTTTTCTCTCTCTCTCTCTTTCTCTTTCTCTCTCTCATGCAGGTGCACATGTCCTTTGGCAATCAAAAAAATTTAAGAGCCCTACTTTCTAGATTCTTTCCCAAACACTTTCAATTCTCTATTCACACAGACATCGAACGCGACCAAAAAGCAAATCCCTTCATGTTGCAATCACTACCCAAAACACCGGGTCCTTCTCTACAATCCCTATTGTCTACTTTCAATTAAATAAGCTTTCCTTAGAGTGGACGTCAAGATCCAAGATTTTTTTCCCCCACCAGAAAACCCACAGCAAGAGTCTGAGCGCGGGAAGAGGCGCCTCCACGGGTCACTGTTAACAGGTTCCACCAGACCGGCGTCTGGGGGTCTGGTTTCGGCCCGCGCGGGTTCTGAGCAGGCCCCAGCGCCAGGCGACCAGACCTCAATGCAGCACCGATGCGACGCCGCGGCCCGCGCTCCCCACTTCCCACGGAGGGCGCCGCCCCCCCAGAACGAGGAAAACGACAGACGGTTGAGCCCAGAGGAGGCGGACTTCCCCGGCGCTGCACGGAGGCCCGGGAGACCCCCCTCACAGTGTCACCCAAAGGCAGGTTCCGCAAAGCCCAGCCCCGGCCAGCTCGCACGGCTCCCTGATGGAGGCCCAGCACCTCGGGCGAAGGAGACGAGGCCGGGCGGCCTCTCAAATCAGGGCGCAGGTGGGGCGCGGGCGGAGGAGCAAGGGTGTCACCCGCCCTGGAGTGCCTCTCCCCCAGCGAGGCCGAACCGGGGCGTACCCGTACTTGTACCCGGGGCCCGTCCCGTACCCGGTGCCCATCCCATACCCGGGGCCCAATCAGGGCGCAGGTGGGGCGCGGGCGGAGGAGCAAGGGTGTCACCCGCCCTGGAGTGCCTCTCCCCCAGCGAGGCCGAGCCAGGCCGGACCCGTACTTGTACCCGGGGCCCGTCCCGTACTCGGGGCCCGCCCCGTACCCGGTGCCCATCCCATACCCGGGGCCCGTACCCGGTGCCCGTCCCGTACCCGGGGCCCGCCCCGTACCCGGTGCCCGTCCCGTACCCGGGGCCCACGCGCTCACCTCCAGGCGCAGGGAGGCCCCGCAGCCGCGCAGGAACTCGCGGATGTTGCTCAGGCACTCGCTCTCGCTCCGAGGCTCCGGGTAGACCTGCAACACAGAGCACAACGCTGGGCGCTAACCCTAACCCGACCCGGCCCACCCGGCCCACCTGGCCTCGGCCCCGGC